TTAAGTAAAATAAAAAACTCCTTGATACCTTAGAATGTTCTTGTTTAGCACTGGTATATTTATTATATTTGTTCTTTTAATACCCTATTATGACGTGAAAATGAGAGAGTGAATCGCATCTATTATTAATAAGCTTATTAGCTGGCACTAATATGGTTTGGTTTTATTTTACTACTACAATGAGTGATAGTACTAAATTATAATATATAATATTATAATATAATATTTACATTATCAATAAAGGTTAGCTCTAAATCCGATGAAACATAATACCTTTACAATAATTATTTTAGAAAGTCGCTTTACGCTTTACACTTATACCACAGCCGACATTTTCATGGCACTTAATAAAATATACTAATACCATTAATGATTGGCTAATAACAACCGGAAAGAATGGCTTATTGTGACACGGGCGTATAATTTACTTCAGCCCCCGTAAACTTGGAACCCTGTAATTGTATATCCAGATTCAATATGATAACAGATTATAGGGGGGCAACTTGTATTGTCCAGACATAATGGTCTCGCTTATGTAAATTGATCAGGTTTTATAGCTATGCTCTACATTCTAGATCGAATTGCAATACTAAAATTCTCGGCTATCTGGTTTTTACTGTTTGTACAACAATGCTTATTCCAATATCGATCGATAATCTTGATCAACACTATTCTTAGATATATCAATTATTATTATATTTGTAGCACGTAGATGTAAGGTGTGTATATAATAGATAGATTATATTTTTTACATATTTGTGTGCAAATATATTATATATATATATATATATATATATATATATATATATATATATATATATATATATATATGCGACTACACCCACGCAGGGGTTAAAAAAAAATTATTATCACGTATGTATTCGAAAATTTTGTTAACTCATACGAAGCCGGGCCGGATAGCTAGTATATTATAAAAGTTTTCCTCCTACATAAATAATTATGTTGCTTCCACTCGTGTCTTCAGTTAGTTATTCTAGTTCGAGGGAACGGAAATATATTCCCAATAAGACGATTACGTCAGTCTTTCTATCCACGTTTATCTGAAAAACGTCACTCCATCTTGACAGTTTGATGTAAAAAGAAAAAAACACAAAGGTAACTTACTTTCGTGTTTATTTTTTTATTTTTGATTTTATTTGTTTATGGAAAACAGCTAGAACAATACATAATTACACACATAAATAGTAATTTGACAGCCACTGTAGTGCACAAATGTAATACAAGTGATGGAAATACAAAATTAAACAATACTAAATTAAACAAATTAAACAATACAATACTAAATTAAACAAATTAAACAATACTATTGAAAACTACAGCAACATTGTCAATAATAATGCTCAGATGTTAACAAAGCCATCCATTTTTTGAGTTGAGTTAGTTATTTCCAAAACTATCATTTATCCTGTTAATATTATAAATGCGAAAGTTTGTAAGGATGGATGTATGTATGTAAGGATGGATGTATGAATGTTTTTTTTACAATACAGGGGGCAAACGAGCATGCGGCTCACCTAGTGGTAAGTGACTACCGCCGCCCATGATCACCCACAACACTAATGGCATTGCAGGTGCGCTGCCGGCCTTTTGAAAAGGAATATGCTCTTTTCTTGAAGGTTATGTTGTCGTATCGGTTCGGAAATACTGCTGCTGAAAGTTGATTCCAAAGAGTGGTTGTGCGTGGAAGAAAGTGCCTTGAAAAACGCCCGGTGGAGGATCGCCACTCGTCCAGATGATTGGGATGAAATTTTAGTGAAACGTAAGGATGGATGTTTGTTACTTTTGCTTTAAATATTACAAATGCTAAAATTTGTAAGGATTTTTTTATGTGAGTGGACGACAAACATTCGGTTCACTTGATGGTAAGTGATCACCGCAGCCCATAGACACTAACGATACCAGGGGTGTCGCCAATGCGATGGATATTACTTTATCACGCAAAAACTATTGAAAGGATTTAAATGAAATGCGATACGCGGGTAAGTGTACTTTTTTTAATGGATGATAATAGAGTGGCAACCCCGCCTGCGCTTACGGTATACACTGGCGGGGCACCAGTGAGAGATGATAAGTGGGTAATGAAAAAGCAGTTCAGTTAGCCCATTGTGATGAATACATCTGGAATTCAGTACGATGGTTGTCAGGGGGAACCGTGTGGAAGTCAGCCTGACAGGGTATATTGCTAGCAATGGGTCTGGCAGTCCGCATTTCTAATAATCGTTTCCCGCCCGCGTGAGTGACACAAACAAAGTCACAGGATACATCTAGTTACCAATATCTTTAAATACTATAAAGTCGATATATGCATCTATTATTGTCTGTATTCACTGTGTATTTGAGATACACATACCGGATTTTGATTTGTGTACACAATACACAATTAAAGTTTTGTATATATACCATTAACAATGGGGTTACTCTTCAAACAAATTCCAATAGATCAACATTGGAATCGAAATGTTTCACACTCTCGAATTATATTCGCGACATAATGGTTCCATACTGTTCTGATAGATGCATAGTAGCGCAACTTGCCAATGTAAACTATTACAAACCAATTCCAATTCTAACGTAATTCCTAAACGTTATTTTACGAGTGCAGTACAAAATTGTCATTGGCAATAGATTGGATTGATATCGATGTTAAATTCGAGAGGTTACAGGTTTTTAAATGGAAATATAGCCTATATACTGATACTATACTAATATGAAATTGACTTGGACTGAAAAAAAAAATTTTGAAATTACAAGAAGTAAAAATTATACAATATGCTGACCACTATAGATAGATACTCTTTATTGTTTCCTCCAAAAGATTACAATAGTAAACTTATTATAAATATAAACAATTACAAGAAGTAATCACAATGAGAAAATAATAGGCGGCCTTATCGCTAAAAGCGATCGCTTCCAGGCAACCCTTGGATGGAGAGGAGTAATTATAAACAGTTTGATCGGAGGCACAATGAAATTCTATTATTTCTTAATATATGATACATGTAATAATATAAAATGTATATCCCTTCTCATTATAATGCATAATGATATAATCAACATATATATTGCTTTACTAATAATCATTAAAAATAGAGTGAGAAATAGTGTGATTAGAGAGTGAAAAGAGAGGCGAGAGAGAAGTGTGAGTTGAAAGATCGTAAAGAGAATGCTGCATTGGTTTGGCCACTTGGAGAAGATGAATTAAAGAAGAAGTCTGAAAAAGTTCTACGAGTATAAGATATGTATAAATCAACGAATGAACGGAGATGTTGGGAGGGGTCGCCATAGTCGGACGTAAATTGACCAAATAGACGACATGCTGAAGAAGGGCCAAATTAAAAGTATTCGAGCGTGTATGAATAGATTAATGAATACGGAGGAACCGAAAGAGGTTTGAATCGGAGCATTTTGCGTTCCATTGTTTCAGCCTATTCCAATGGAAGAGAGACGTGACAGATATGTATGTATGTAATAATCCAAACATCTTCTAAGGTACCAGTCGTGAGTAATATAAATGAGTACACCGGGAAACGAGCTACCCATATGCGTAAAAGCGGCAGTAAATGTTGAACGGGTTGAATGTTCCCAGGGGACGAATGGGAGTGGTTATACCACAATAAACTCAATTGTTGAAACTTCAGGGACCCGCAGTGAATTGCAGGACTGCTGCAGTGCTCCGGGCTATTTGTCTACAATTCTAAATAATATATATGCTGGGGTGTAGCATTATATATATATATATCTATAAATTTGAATATAGCATTGCATATATCAATACTAGCTCTTCTAGCAACTTGATTTGCGTGGATTTTGAATCAATAAAACAGATCACTTATAGATAATATATAAAGATAAAATATAGGTCAGATTTTAAGTTAGATCTTCAGGAATGTAATTGTGAAAAATGACATCCAATTTGGTGTAGTAGTTTTTAGTGATATTGCCACAAAGAGCCAGATATACATAATCTAAAAAATATTGTTTTTGCTGCTATTACTAATATAAAGTAATACTACTAACATTTTTTAAAATGTTTCCCATAAATATGGACAAATTTCCATTAAAATTTAATTATTGTATACAAAATTTAACTGTTTGTTCATATTAATCCCCGAAACCGGCTCAACAGATTTTAATGAAATTTTGTAAATGTAAATTGTTTGTACGAACTAGAGAGATTTATCGAAAGAGAAAAGTTTTATCATCCCCATAGAAACTTGATGGGATACTCGAGAGAATTTGGTTAACATGATACAGATCTTTGTTTTAGTATTAGAAATGTAAAAGTACCTTTGTTTATTATCAATTGGTGCTTTATCTTTTAATTCTTATCTTTAAATTTCATAAAACTATAGAGTACTTATCATACCGTGTGCTTTAGGCTTAGAATGCCCCCCCTCCCCCACTTACTTTCTCGTGGGTGTCGTAAGAGGCGCCTAATGGTACTTAGTAATCAAGGGATGAGCAGCAACATCCCTCTTAAAACATCACGAAAGCTTAACTGAGGTTGCCAATACGCCTGCCAACCGTGGCACCTACTGACTAAGCCTTATAATAGGAAGAGGCCTATGTTCAATAGTGGACAGTTAATGACCAGCATGATGATGATAGAATACTTATAAACTTATAGTATGTAGGTTGGAAATATTGGATTAAATTTAATACCGTATAAAAATTATATGCACCGTCATAGAAATCTCCCCATAAACAAAATTCATAAAGTTGAACGGAGTCTTTCACACAAACGGTTGGTTATGTGGCAATAAACAGTGGTGTTGTTGAAACCTTATCGATCCCGAGGGGCTCAACAGGCAATGCAGCTCATGTTTAGGAGGTGAAAATGAATTTTCGACTTATAAAAGACGAGGTTTCATACTGATCTGACTAAATAACAGGAACTTATTAATATTACTATGTTCGACATTTCTTTCTGTGGATACATGTTTGAATAAAAAATTAATAAACCTTATTTCTCTTTACAGAGTCGTGTTGTTGTGGAGCAAGGGACTGGAGTGAGGCGTGTTAAGGTCTGTAAATGAATTGTTAATTTTTTTACACTGTTTTTCTCTCCCTTGTGGGTTGGAGCTTCTGAATACCAGCTTGGCGTTCTTGATCCTGTTCAAAGACGAGCTGAGAGAATATTTGATTATCCCAAGCTCACAGGCGGTATTGAGCCTTTAAGGTCCTAAGGCAAGACTTTGCTTTCCTATTAGTGTTCTACCGTTTGTATAACGGATTGTGTTCTGAGGAATTATTTGAAATGATGCCCACAGTCACCTTTTATCATCACACTGCTCGCCATCGACAAGAAATTCGTCCTCACACGCTTGAATCTAAATGCTCGCGTACATTGCGGTTTCAAAGGAATTATCTCCACGAACACTCTAGCTGTGGAATGAGCTCTCTGCCGAGATTTTTCTAAAGATTACAGTATAGGCTTTTTCAAAAAGAGTATATTAAAGTTTCTTCAGCATCAAAAACGCGCATGTGACATCCCTAGTGTTGCAGGCGTCCATATGCTACAGTAAACATTTACCATCAGACTGGCTACATGGTTATTTGCGCCCTTCGTGGTGTAAAAAATAGGATCTAACAACCCTATTGCTGGCAAGATCGACCTTTATGCAGTCCCCACTGGAAAACATAGTACTTAATTCATGAGTTCGTGATTGTCCATTGTGATGGGCCAAGTGACCTGTTTTTATCACTCCCTGATGTCCTACCATTGTACACCGATAGCGTTGTTGCGGCTACCATTCTAATTTTATCAACAAAAATATCTCTTACAAAATTCGACTATCATCAAACGAAATACGAAAGTCGGTCGAAAAGCTTCTTGTCCAATTCCATTCATCTCACAACGTCTCTGGTGAGTAGAGTGAAGAAGTGGCAACAAAATTATTTAGTTATTAGATTAGTAAGAACTAAGTAAAGTTTATAGTTACTCTAGGGATCCATTCTTAGACACAGGGCAACGAAAACACATATCAACAGGCACGAAATGTTATTTATCAAAAGAGGAATGCGATTCTCAATGTGACTGTCACTCAATGTATTTTATATACGTTTGTATGTTATGCGGCATCTGCAGATTGATTTTAATGATTTTTTTTTTAATCTAATGTGTTTATTCTCGTGTTTGTTTTTTCTGATTTTGCGAGTGTACAACTATTGCTATAAGACATATTACTTGAGTAAATACTAGGCTATTATGTTGACTGAGGTAATAAGTTATCATTGCATCAAATTTCATCTTTATTACTCTATTATTTAATGTTTGTACTACTGAAGTGCACAAAAGTATTATATTTTTATAATAAAATTATATGTGTAAATATACATTTATATTGATTTACTTATTGATTTAACGTTAATACACCTAGATAGTATAAATGACGGGCTTAACACCATACGGCGTTCTCTACCAATCAACTGTAGACAGAATAACAGAAAATATAATTGTATAACAGAAAAAATATAATTATTTATATATATATATATATATATATATATATATATATATATATATATATATATATATATATATAAACGGTGCAACGTGATGGGGAAGGCTTATGTACTGATATAATAATAAATATACATATAATGTAATAGATAAAATTTGGATAATGTATCTAAAATCCATTAAAACAATATTCATTATATTATAAACTTTGAATAAATAAAGATTATCCCCGAAGAACGGCATTATTCAACAGTTTCATAAAGTTTTCCTTTACTGCCTTAATATAACGGCCTTCCGAACAATTTCACAGATTTATTACATTTTTTTTATAGACGCGTAATTTTTTTCTCATTCAGATTCTGTAAACTAAGTTATAATCTGCTTTTACAAGCTACATTTACATTTAGGTGGCTTCATTACAATAACTAAGTCGACTTTTATAAATTGTTTACGCATTTAAGACTTTTTATGTGACTTTTTTTATGCAACTTAGAATGGCAAACAAGCTGACGGCCCACCTGATGAAAAATGGTAACTGTCGCCTATAGACATTAGTAGTACCGTGGACATAACAGAGTATACTGTTTCGCCCACGATCCCCTCCTTGCATTGCAATTCCTGAGAACACAAGTGTTATTCGTTTGTACTCTGTAAATTCAAAATTGTATATTTTTTCTAATTTTTATTGTTGTATGATTTATTCCCGTGCTGACCCTATATTAATTTAGCAAAATTCTTATGGTAGTCATTGTAGACATAATATTCCGTATTCTAGGTATTTGAAATCACCTTTATAACTTTTTAGGATTCGTTACCAAAATGCATCATTTTTGGATAATAATTAAAAAAAAACAACAAAAATAAACCTAGTTACGAGGTTAAATTTTTATCTAAGGTTGTGTCCCAAAATAATGGGGGAAAAATAATGGAAATGTTAGATGTCCGTTTTGTATAAAAAGAGTAGTAAAGGTAATTCTATGTCTTATCTATATATGTAGCGTATGTGTTCAACTCATATCTGACTGGTTTTTTTTTTAAATAAGACAGTGAAATTTCTAGCAATTATTTAATAAATATATAAATGAAATTAAAACTAGGTTTAATTACGTTATGTGGTTGGAATTTTTTTTTATACAACTTAGAATGGCAAACAAGCTGACGGCCCACCTGATGTAAAGTGGTAACCGTCGCCTATAGACATGAGCAGTGCCACGGACATAACAGAGTATAATAGTATGCAAATAAGGAATATTTTCAAGTAAATGATTTTAAGTGTTCCACTGTACTCAAAAAGTTGTGAGATAAATAAATAAACATTATTATTATTATGATGATATTATAAAATAAACATATTAGTCTTAAGAAAAAAATAAGAATAAATATATTAAAAAAATAATATTTTTTTGTTATTTAGTTACACTTCATGTCACATGGTCCGTCTGCTAGTTTGCCATTAAAGTTGTATAAAAAAGTTTATTTATTTAAATCAAACTAGGCATATATATGGCCAATTCTTTAATAATTCAATAAATAAATGATACTAAAGAATTTAGCCATGAAATGGTAACAAGTAAATAGATCTAATTTAAGATTTATACCATAAAATCATTAAAGATCATGCTCTTTGGCAAGCTTTAACACAGCTGTACAGATTTGTATCGCGAACGGCAGACCTTACGGCTCCTTACAAGGTGTGGCATGTCTTTTTCAATACGAACAGCTATTCGAAATATTTCTTTGACTTATCAAGCGGCAGAAAATTTACACCTTATGTTTTAAATAATAATAGATACAACTGGTAATGCCTTATAATGCTGTCCGGTCGGTAAAGACTAATACATCCATACTATTATTTATTTAACTCTTTATTGCACCAAAAACATTAAAAAAAAACAATGACATATAAACAATTCAACTAAAATACAGTAGCATGGAGTACAGATCACAATATATATATAAAGGTACAAAAGGCAGTCTTATCGCTAGGGCAATCTCTTACAGGCAACCTTTGGCTAAAGGAGAACATAAAGAATTGGGTAGGTGGCACAAGAGTATTACGTCGCTTTTTCGAAGTCACTTAATTATGGCTTCTGCCCTACTAAAAAGTTCTTTTGCCCTACCATAAACTTGAGTCTAGCTACGGCCCTATGTCTTCCTCTACCAGTAAGCTGTAGTATAAAATATTTTAATTTACGCAACGGATGGCACGCGACTGTTTACGACACTAATGTTTTACTTTTTGCCTTTTACCAGCAACCAGTTTAGTTTATGAGAGACTTTATGCCATGAAGTGGACGCTATTGGCCATATCTGATGTTTGTGGTTAATCTTACCATCTTAATCGTTTTGTATCTCATGAGAATTTAATAATTTAAAATACAGTTTAAACATGTAACTTGTTCTCTAAAATAAAAACAGTGCTACCAACCATCGTGAAAAGAAATATTATCTAGTTACCTCACTATTTATTCTTATTTTAAACGCTTAGATTACGTAGATAGAAAATTTTCAAACTACAAATGTTTTGTCAAATAGAAGTAATCTTTTTTAAAATTTAATCAGCGAAACGTTAAATTAACTGACTAAATTGTCATTCATTTTAACTCACTTGGATAAGATATTACGTTAAAAATATTTGAATTTAGAATGTAGAATTGTGAGTACATTAATGAGTCCAAGAAGGGAGTAAATTCTAGCATTTGTAAAAGAAATTAATTATTACTGAAACCAATTCAGAATGAAAATATTATATTCATGACTATAATTTAAGATTGTGTTCCACAAAAAAAACAAACAACTTTAATTGTGGCGCATTCATTTATTTTGATTTAAAAACTAAACTACTGAACTAATTTTGATGAAATTTCTATGGGAGCAATCCATAAGTATGTGGCTTTAGGTAAAAAAAAAATATTTTCCAAATCTATTCATAACTGACGGAATTATGTGGTAACAAACATTGAAAAAAAATATACAGTTGAATTGAGAACCACCTATTTTTTGAAGTCGGTTAATAACAAAGAATAGTATACGAGAAGTAAATATCCAAACAAAATAGTATACCAAACCACATAGGCAACGTTATAAATGTAGAGTAATACAGCACATGCCTGGTGAGCTGTAGCAGGCTGGTTTATTTCTATCTCTTACTCAACAGTTCTCTTCAGAGGTACATACCATATTAGCCATTTATTATCCACTGTTTAACATGACCTCCCCCATAATTGGGGCATTTTTCCAGTAGTTGCCACGCTTAGCAGACGGATTAGCAACCGCATTTAGGCCTTTGATGATTTTTTTATAAATATTTTAAGGGCTTTTACCTTCTTCAGGTATATCAGTCCTATTGTACCCTGTTTTAAGAGGAACTCTGCTGCCCATTCCTCGACTATAGCTTCCCTTAGTCGCTTACGACACCCACGGGAAAGGAAGTGGTGGCCTATTCTATGCCGAGGCTTTTGATGTATTGGATATTTGGTACATATCGTCATAGTCGTAGAATACTGACGGATCTTTATATGTAATCTTTGTCAGATCCGTCAGTATTCTACGACTATGACG